CAGTGGTTGATTGCATCCTCAGTACAGCCCGGGCGATGGCACCATAAGAAGTGAGAATGAGAATGAGAGGGATGAGAACAAAAATGGAGCTCATGACCATGAGGGTCAGCTCATTAGCATGGGTATCAACACACGATAATTGCAGCAGTGCTGGAACTTCACAGAAGAAGTGATCCACTTTGTGGTGTCCACACCGGGGTACCCAGAAGGTAAAGGAGGAATGAAGTGCTGAGGTGGTAAAGCCACTTAGCCAAGAAGCCACAGCCAGCAGGCGGCAGAATCGAGGGTGCATGAGGACAGTATAATGCAAAGGTCTACACACAGCTGCATAACGGTCATAGGACATCACCACCAGTAGGACACACTCTGTGGTTCCCAGTGCAAGGGCAAAGTAAAGTTGAATCATGCAACCAGCGTAAGAGATGGTCTTCTCCGGACCCCAGAGGTTGACGAGAAACTGAGGGATGGAGCTAGTGGTGTAGCAGAGATCCACAAAAGACAGGTTTGAGAGGAAAAAGTACATGGGAGTGTGGAGATGGGAGTCCAGGTATGACAGGATGATGATGAACAGGTTACCTGTGAGTGTCATCAAGTAGAATATCAAGACAACCAGAAAGAGAACTACTTCTAGATGAGGCCAGTTAGAAAAACCTAGTAGGATAAAATAGCCCTTAGAACTAGCATTGGTGTTTTCCATCATCAATCATTTTCTGTTACCTGAGGGAAAAAAATCACATTAAGGAAAAAGTAAGGAAATGCTCCAAGAAGCATAGCCACCTTGGGAAAAGAAACAAAAGTCAGTTTGAAAAGACTACCACTGTTCAATTCTAGGACAATTTGAACTTTAAGATAAATTATGGTAGCAGTAAACTAAACAAAATAGAATCCTTAAACACATATTGATATGAAAAATAAAAGAATAAATAAAGAAATGTTGAAGACAAAGGTATTCCTCACAGGAGAAGCCTAATAAATAAATATAGGAGGGATTATGGAGTTAGAAAGCATAATGGATACAAAACCTAGTGGGTGAAAATTTGATGAAATATTTTCATAGTTTAAAATATCTTCTCTATTACTTGCTAATTGCAAGATGAAAAATAGGAAACTTTATAGTAAAAAAATCACCACCATAACCAAGTGATCAATGCTTGCATCACCAATGTTATGATAAGCCAATATCAGATGCCTGTGATATGATACCCTGAACAGGACGTGATGTCACTCCAGTAATATTCCCGCCGTAATACACAGCCTAACTGTAATAATGAAGAAACCTGGGACGAACTCAAACTGAGACAAAGTAACTTTCCTGTACTATTCAAAAATGTAGTGTTCAATGAAGACAAATAAAGGCTGAGAAACTGGTCTAGATTCAAGCAAGTCAATGAGACATAATATCTAAATGTGTAATCCTGAACACATTAAAAAATAGCTATTAAAATTATTAAGACAGTTAGAGAAATCTGAACATGG